TCCTTTTCTCCCTTGCCTTTCACTTCTTTTCTCAACCATTTTTTAAAGCTTCCTCAGACCAACCACTTTGTCTTCTTGCATTTCTTTTTCTTTGGGATGGTTTTGGTCACTGCTGCCTGTACAATGTTATAAACCTCTGTCCATAGTTCTTCAGGCACTCTGTCTATCAGATCTAATCTCTTGAATCTATTTGTCACCTCCGCTGCATAATCATAAGGGATTTGATTTAGGTCATATCTGAATGGCTTAGTGGTTTTCCCTACTTTCTTCAATTTAAGCCTGAATTTTGCAATAAGGAGCTGATGATCTGAGCCACAGAAAGCTCCAGGTCTTGTTTTTGCTGACTGTATAAGAGTTTCTTCATCTTTGGCTGCAAATAATATAATCGGTCTGGTTTTGGTATTGACCACTTGGTGATGTCCATATGTAGAGTTGTCTCTTGTGTTGTTGGAAAAGGGTTTTGCTATGACTAGTGCATTCTCTTGACAAAACTCTGTTAGTCTTTGACCTGCTTCATTTTGTCCTCCAGGGCCTATTACTCCAGGTATCTCTTGACTTCCCACTTTTGCATTCCAAGCCCCTGTGATGATAAGGACAACTGTTTGGTGTTGGCTCTAGAAAGTACTATAGGTCTTCATATATCCAGTCAACTTCTGCTTCTTTGACATAAGTGGCTGGGGCACAGGCTTGCACTACTATGATGTTGAGTGGTTTTCCTGGGAAATGAACCAAGATCACTCTGCTGATTTCGAGATGGCACCTAAGTACAGCATTCAGACTCTTTTGTTGACTATGATGGCTACTCCATTTCTTCTAAGGGATTCTTGCTCACAGTAGCAGATATAATGGTCATCTGAGTTAAATTCACCTATTCCCATCCATTTTAGTTCACTGATTCCTAAGTTGTTGATGCTCAGTCTCATCATCTCCTTTTCAGACTGGGGATAGGTTAATGTCATACCTCAAAGAAGCCTGGACAGGGAAATACGGTTCTTTGGGGCCACTATGACAGCCTCCTATGGTTCTCCCTCTGGTCCCAGTGATCCAGGTCCCTCCCATGACTTCCAAACTCTCATCCGATCATGGCATTAAGGTGCACACGTGGATCAGGCTCTTCTGGGTGTGCAGGGACTGGAGTGTGGCTCCTCTTAATGCAGGAACTTGTGAGCAAAATCTGAGAGTTATCTGTCCTCCACACACCCAGCATATAGCTGTGAGGCAGGAACAGGAAACCTTCAAAGGCAATAGGCCCTCCCCTTCAAAAGGAAAGTGACAGGAAGCCCATGTAGTCTCTGCTCCAAAGCAGTTATGAAATCCAGTTTCCCCTACTTGAGGGACAAAGAAAGTTCCTTGATCAAGTCCAGTTTTTCTTTCTGGGGACGGTGTGTCTAATCCATTGTTCTCCTTTGCTCTTGCCTAAACCCTCTGAGATAGCTCCACTTGTCCATAAGAAGTGACCCATACAGGCAGCTGAGTGTCTTTTCTCAACCTGCTTCCTTCCCAAAAACCTCTTTTTATTTTGAACTATCTGTCTTCTTTATCTAAGCAGGTGGTGTTTTCAGCAATACAGCTCCTTTCAAAACTTTGTGGATTTCCTATGAATCTAATTGAAATTTGCTTCATATTCCAAAAGCTACATTCATAGTCCTTTTCTGAGACTGATTTCTATTTTGAACCACACATGAAGCTGTTGTGAAAGGAAACCCTTAGATTTCCCCAAATCCCTTCTGTCTAGATGAATGGGTCTGTTCAGCACTACCATAAATCTTACAAAAATCTTAATAGGCGTCCTGCAGACACTACCTTGATTTTATCTTTGGCCTTCATTGCACTGTGTATGTTTTTTACCAGCTACAGATACTGAGCATAAGGGACAGTATCATTTTCTAGCCAAGCAAATCCCGAGCCTTCTACTTCCAAACGGAACAACTCCTGCTTTGGCTCATCTCTCTTTCTGTACCTTGTGACATGCAGCTAAAAGAAGCCCACTGGAACCTTTAACATTCCGTCTAGAGGTTTCTTCAGCCACAAGTCTGTCTCACCTCCCCAGGTCCATAGATGACAGTTTGTTCTTTATTCCTAAGTGACGAGGGTCACCCTTTCTCCAGCCTCCAACATTTTCCTTCACCACCTTCCCAGCTTCCACTCCCTCCAAAGCCACTGTCACGCTTCAGGTTTTTGTTAAGGTACCATCGAACCCTGAGTACCAACACCTGTGTCATTTATTGTTGTTGCTGTTGTTCAGTCACTAGGTTGTGTCTGACTCTGCGACCGCAGTCCATGCCTACCAGGCTCCCCTGTCCTTCACTATCTTCCAGAGTTTGCTCAAATTCACGTTTATTGAGTCAGTGATGCTATCTAACCATCTCAACCTCTGCCGCTGCTGCCTTCTCCTTTTACCTTCAATCTTTCCCAGCATCAGGGTCTTTTCCAATGAGTCAGCTCTTTGAATCAGGTGGCCAAAGTATTGGAGTTTCAGCGTCAGCATCAGTCCTTCCAATGAATATTCAGTTGATCTCCTTTAGGATTGACCTGTCTCCTTGCAGTCCAAGGGACCCTCAAGAGTCTTCTCCAGCACCACGATTCAAACGCATCAGCTCTTTGGCGCTCAGCCTTCTTTATGGTCCAGCTCTCACACTGCACGTGACTACTGGAAAAACCATAGCTTTGACTACACAGACCTTTGTCAGCAAAGTGGTGTCTCTGCTTTCTAATTTATTTGTTACCACCTAACAAACCACCCCAATGCGTGGTGGCATCAAACGCTCACAGCTCATGCTTCTCACAGTGCTGGAGAGCAGCTCCTGGGCTCACCTGGGCTCCCGCACCGCACTCAGCTGGGCGTCGGGCCTACCTAGAGCGCGTGGGCCAGCTGGCCTACCTCCCCATGTGGTCCTTTTCATCTCAGGACTCTTTGAAGCATGGTGGTCCCAGGATCCAGAAGAGCAAAGAACAGACTGTAAGGCTTAAGGGCTCGCCTTGGAAGTCACTCCACGTTACCTCCACTGCATTTTCTCGGCCAGATCATAAGATAAGCCCAGCTTCAAACCATGGGGAAACAGACTCTCCTTAAAAGTCTGTGTACAAGCGTGATGTACCCCCATCCATGATGGTTATACAGACCATGGACAGTGAGAGAAAGCCAGTAAGTAATTATGTACGTGTCGTTAGGAACCCAGGTTCCCAGCACAAGAGGAGGAAGACATAAATGTGAAATCAGAGAAATTATATGAAAACACTCTAAACTTACCTTTAAATTGGAAATATTAGTATCAACTCATTATGTACTCTTGGGGAAAAAAAAAAATGTGTTTCCCAGTTTTGACCACAGAAAGGTTTAGAAGCAATGACTTGTCTGATCATTATGACCCCTCTTTGGTCCCCAGACGACTATCACACACACACAAAAACTATTCTCTAGAAAAAGGAACCAGAGCTCCTGGGAGAAATGCCCAACTTGAGGTCTTGAGAAAGAAATACACCAGATGAAGCAGGGACAACTCGTCCTATCAGGAAGCAAGATGGGTGGGGTGTGGGGGGCGGGGTGGGAGGGCCAAGAGGGAGAGGATACAGGTATACATAAGCTGATTCACTTCACTGTGCATCAGAAACTAATGCAACATTGGCAAGCAGTTATATTCCAATTTTATAACAGAAAAGAAAGCAAGACAGCCCTCAACACCGTCAGACAGAGTCAGGAGGCACCTGGGATGGCCTCCCTCTGCCCCAGGATGGGACCGTTTGCACATCAACAGAACCTACAGCTTCATCTATGCAAACGTCCTATGTGACCACAATGAAGTGAAACCCAAACTCAAGTGGTCCCATAATGACACCAAGTGAAAGAGAAAGTTCTTGACCATCTTTAGAGGTTTCTAAGGGACCATCTCATATCATGAACTGTGCTAAGTGGGAAGAATCAGGTGTTGATCCTGTCTTTCTAGGCGAGCTGTTTGTAAGGGAAGCTAAGTTGCTGTCAAGGAAAATCTCTTTAATGGGAGGGTGCCGGTGTGCTGGAAGGGAGCCTGGAGTCAGACACCTTTGGTGGCTGCTCAAACATCTGGTGAGAAGCCAACGGGAAATTTATGAAGGGTGGACTGGGCTGGGGCATGGAGCCCACTGAACAGTCCTCACGTGTGTCCAGTGAGACAGCAGGCACCTGGGACAAGTTGCCCAGCACGTCGAGGGAGCTCCAGGGCTGCTGCCCGTTTAGGAAGCGTGGGGGCGGGGGCAGAAGAACAGGATGAATGCACTACAAGGGCAAGCGTGGGGAACTCTGCAGGTCAGGGCAGCTTGTGTCTCCTACAAGTCAGTGTCCAGATGTAAAAAGACCACGGAGTTCAAACCAGTCCATCCTAAAGGAAATTAATCCTGAATATTCATTGGAAGGACTGACGCTGAAGCTGAAGCTCCAATACTTTGGCCAGATGATGTGAAGAGCCGACTCATCAGAAAAGACCCTGATGACGGGAAAGACTGAAGGTAGGAGAAGGGAATGACAGCGGATGAGATGGTTGGATGGCATCACTGACTCTATGGACATGAATTTGAGCAATCTCCGGGAGATACTGAAGGACAGGGGAGTCTGGTGTGCTGCAGTCCATGGGGTCGCAAAGAATCAGACTTGACGGAAGTCAAGAAGATGGAAAAAGAGGTTTGAGGGACTGGCATGGAAGTAAGGCGACAGCAACGCCTCCACCAAATGCTCTGGGTGAACCCTCGGATTCTGTTTAGACGAAACAACTGTGAAAACCCTCTGAACAACCTGCGGATCCCTAGCTGACACAGTATACAGTGACGCAAAGGAATTACTGTTAATATTTTTAGATGCGAAAATGGTATTGAGCTTATGTTTCAAAAGATTTCACATCTCTTAGCAGTACACAACAAGGAATTTAAATATGGAACAACTTGCTTTACAGTAACCCAGTGGGGACTCAGGGTCAAAGGTGCAGATGAAACAAATCTGGCCTCTTGTTGAGAATTATCAGAGCCAGGAGATGGGGCTGAGCGTTCCGGAGCTCAACCCTCTCGAGAAAGCACTTCTGTGCACACATGTGTAAGCCTCCACTGAAGCGCTGAAAAAATAAGAGAGCACTCAAAAAAAAAAAGTAAAAAGGAGATTTGTTGTAAAACAACACCCTCCAGCTACGGAGCAGAGCTGATTTACCGGAGCTGCGGCTGGAGACGCCCGTGCAGAAATTCTGGAGACTTCTAACCCAGCAGCGGGCTCCCACACAGTAATGAACTCAGGGGGTCTGCTGAGCCAGGCTCTGGGCCAGGGAAGCTGTTCAGAGGTGTGAACCGCATGGCCCAGAAGGCCTGGCAGCTGGGGCTTTGCCTGCTTCTAGAAGAGCCCGTCTCACCGCCCACGATGTGGACACCCCTAGGGTGTCCCCTAGGGTGTCCCCTAGGGAGCACCCCTAGAACTCCTCCATGCATTCTCAGGGACTGAGCGACTGCTGGGTGTGTCTCCTTCCATGCGTGTGCACGCAGATTCATGCACACTCACACATTCACGCTCACACTCCACACAGGGTTCTGGTGTCAGGCCCCACGGGACACGGCAGAGCACACACGGTTAACCAGAGGGAGGGATGAAGACGCCATCTCTGGAGGGGCCGCAGTGCTGAGGCAGGGCGGCAGCTGTCGACACCCCCGGTGACAGCAGGAGCCATGGGAACCCCCAGCCTGAAGGGAGGAGGAGAGGCCCGGCCGCCAAGAGCCCGGCCTGGGGGCCAGGACGCCCAGCTCCAGCCACCAGGGCCACCAGCAGCACCCTTCACACCCGCGGTCACGGCCAGAACGGGAGCAAGAGAGGGACAGACCCCCCTCCCCACGGGGCCTCCGCAGCGCTGACCCCACTGCGGCTGGAGGCAAGGGGTCAGACCCCAGCAAGGCGCTGGCCTTCAGGGTACAGGGAGGGCAGGGGTCACAGATGGAAGACCCCCCAGTCACCTGTGTGCATTCTTGATGAACACAGATGATGCTTCAGGGGGAATTAGAGCCCCTGATTTCCACCCGTGCTGGGGCGTGCCGTCCCCCGTCCAGGGCAGTAACTGTGGGTTTCCAGAGAGAGGCCCAGCCTCACCAGCCCCGCCTCGGACTGGGGCCGTCTCTCTAATCAGTGAGCCAGGCGGCATCCCGGGAGATACATCTTTGCTGGTTTTTCTGATCAGGGCCTCAGGATAAATTCCAGGTGCATCCTGTCACTGTCTCTGTCCTCACAAGAGGCTTCCGGAGGCAACTCTGCATGCAGGAAGGCACCCACTCTTCTGTGCTGCTCTTGGGGCACCAAGTGGATGCCTGCCTGCTAGGGGGTTGTCCCAAGAATTAAATGAATGGACCACTGTGGATGGTTGGGCGCCTCCACAGCCCCCTGGCATTCGGAGCCTAAACCCCTGCTCCCCTGGGCCGACACCATCCTGTCTCCAGCTCCCGGCCCCACCGCAGGACGTTTCCTGGCGGGGCTCCCAGCTGAGCCTTGCGGGGTCAGTCAGCCCAGGTGGGCCCATCCGGGAAAGACCCCTTGGCTGGGCCACAGTGGGGAGTCCGGGCTTAGGTGTGGGGCTCCGATTCCCCACTGAACCTCGCAGGGCAGAACCTCCAGAACGAGGTGGGAGGTGGATCCTGAATACAACTGCCCTCCCCCTAAGACCCAGGACCCACTGAAGGAAGAGGATGCCTCGGGGACCGGAGGTCCTGATGCCATGAGCTGAGGGGGTTGGAGGGACAAACGCCAGGTGTGGGGGTGGGAAGCCTGCTCGAGACCCAGGCTGGTGCACACTGATTTAGCTGCGGTATCATAAAGCAAAAACCTGGTTGCTATGTAATTAACTTGAAATGTAATGAGCAATAAAAATACAATTATGTTCCTGTAAGACATTAAACTCCTGTGCTTTCTTACTGCACTTGAAAGGCCCGCAGGGGTTCTCCAGGCAGAGAAGACAAAGAACCGGGCAGGGCTGCTTCCCAAACGCAGGGCCTCGGACGTGGCTGCTGGGCTGGGGGGCTGCTACCCACCCTCACCCCCGGGGTGGTGGAGCCTGTTTCGAGGACTCGGCAGGAGGGAGATCTCTGCATGGGGGGAGCCGGGGAGCTTCGCACCCGGGATTCCTCGTCCTGAGTGCAGCCAGGAAGGGGTGAACATGCAGGCAGAGGGGCACGTGGCCTACAGCGTCTGTGCATCAGTCCCCATGAGTGGGGCACGCGCTGCTCACAGCAATGCCCAAGTGGGGACAAGCCGGTGTCCATGAAGGACCGAGCGGATACATACCACATGGTCATCCTTACCGTGGGACGGGACACGGCCCCGGAAGAGACACAGCCCCGCCTGCGCAAGTCACGTGTCAGGTGCAACAGGTCACGGAACGTAACTCCGATCACCTCAGAGTGGGCCAGGCAGACCCCACAGAAACAGGATGCAGAGGGGTGGCCGCCACGGACTCGGGAAGTGACAGAGAGAGGGGTCTGAGTAGACAGTTCAGTTCACTTCAGTTGCTCAGTCGTGTCTGACTCTTTGCGACCCCATGAACCGCAGCACGCCAGTCCTCCCTGTCCATCACCAACTCCCGGAGTTTACCCAAACTCATGTCCATCAAGTCGGTGATGCCATCCAGCCATCTCATCCTCTGTCGTCCCCTTCTCCTCCTGCCCCCAATCCCTCCCAGCATCAGGGTCTCTTCCAATGAGTCAACTCTTCACATCAGGTGGCCAAAGTATTGGAGTTTCAGCTTCATCATCAGTCCTTCCAGTGAACACCCAGGACTGATCTCCTTCAGGATGGACTGGTTGGATCTCCTTGCAGTCCAAGGGACTCTCAAGAGTCTTCTCCAACACCACAGTTCAAAAGCATCAATTCTTCGACACTCAGCTTTCCTCACAGTCCAACTCTCACATCCATACATGACCACTGAAAAACCATAGCCTTGACTAGATGGATCTTTGTTGGCAAAGTAATGTCTCTGCTTTTTAATATGCTGTCTAGGTTGGTCATAACTTTCCTTCCAAGGAGTAAGCGTCTTTTAATTTCATTGCTGAAATCACCATCTGCAGTGATTTTGGAGCCCAGAAAAATAAAGTCAGCCACTGTTTCCACTGTTTTCCCATCTATCGGCCACGAAGTGTTGGGACCAGATAGACAGGGGAGCGTCAGACCTGTCTGCGAATCTACTGAAAACCACTGATGAGCACACACTGAACCTGGGAGAATGTCACGGTGTAGGAATTTCATCTAAATAAAGCCATTTTTAAAGAAAGGCTGAAGGGCAGCGTGGGGTGCACAAGATTCAGGGTTCAGAAGAGGAGGTCTGGAGGCAGGAGAGGTGGTGCAGAGCCACCTCTTGCCCTGTCTGGGAGCCTTCCCGCTCACGGGCCTTTGGGTGCCCAGAGAAGGGAGGCCAGAGCGGCAGACACGGGCTCTAGGTGGTCAGGGCGCGATCAGGAGGCAGAGTCCTCCTTCAGGGGGGTGGTCCTTGGGCCCCACCTTGATGCCCATAATGCATCCTGTACCCAGAGGCAGCCCTCACCCTCCAGGACAGCCTCAGGGGCCCGCGGGGCTAATCTCTCTCCATCCGCACCAGCTCACGTGCAAGCTGGACCCCTGACCATGCAGCCTCCCCCCTCCACCACGTGACCCACGTGTCTGTGAGCCCCACAGCACCCCGGGCCCCCCGCCTGCCGTGGGAGTTCCCACGGTCCTGCCAGAAAGGTTATTAGGAAGTAGGGCCACGCAGGGCCTGCCCACAGGAGAGAAGCCACGGTCAGCACAGCATTGTGGGGACAGTCATGCACCCCTCTTCCCAGTGACGATCCCCGGCAGCTGTGACCACCATCGGGATGGGCAGGAGGATGCACACGCATCATTGCTCCCTCCCTGGGCAGGCAGGTCCACCCTCTCTCCCCCGACAGGGTCAGCAGAGGACCAGCACCCAGGGCCCCAAGCTCCCTGCCAAGGAGTCTTCACGCCTCGACCCCGGACAGCCTGGGACGTCCCGGGACTGGGCCGAGAGCCCAGGACGGGTCAGTGAGCAGGGAGGACAGGAGCCCGAGCCCGGTGCCTGCATGGGGCGGGGAGCGGAGGGAGCTGGCATCGGGCAGAGGTGGCACCTGGGCCTCCAAGCAGCGTCTAGAAGGCGGGAGGCCTGGGGGCAGCGGGGCGGGCATCAGGCCAGGGAAGACAGGAGGGAGACTTGGGTGGCCTGCTGGGGGCTGCCCATGTGTGATACTGATAAAGCCCACGGCTGGGAAACATCATCTCCCAAGGTCATTTTTACAAGAAAGTTGTGCTGCGTGGATTTATTGCTGTGCGCAGAGGAGTTTAATTACCACGTTTTAAGAGGTGTTATTATCTCTGCGGCAGGCTCTGCGAGAAACACTCCAGACCCAGCCGCTGTTCCACTGGCACAGACCACCCCCCTCCCCCGGGGACCAGGAACCACTTTCACCCTCAGGCCTTTCTCCCCCTGAGTGCCCAGGCCTGCCCCAAGACCTCTCTGACCCAGCTCAGAGAGGAGCACTTAACCCCACCTCTCTGCCCAGGGAGGCCTGAGCCCTCCGCTTGCACACCCTTGGTGGCGGGAGGCTCCTTCCCTCCCCGGGGACCAATAGCTCCTCTGCCCAGGCCCCGCCTGCAGGGCCCCAGGCTGGCATCACCTCTCTCCTGCTCTCACCTCTCACCTGACGCTGGACGCAGTCAGGCCTCACCCCCTGCCTCCCTCTTCTGAGTGGCCCCGCTACCACCGGGACGGTCACCTCCTACATTCTGGGCACGCTACTGCCAAGGAAGCCACCTGGGGCTGGGCTCTGGCAGCCCTGACGCGCACAGGAGTCCGGGGCCAGGCCCAGCCAGCCCAGAAAGGCGGGCCTCTGGGTGCTGAGGGGCCTGACCCTGAGCCGAGGAGGACATGCTTGTCCAGCTGGACACCCCATCCCCTGCCCATCTCCTGCTGCAAGCAGGATCGGTCACAACGCCCTCTACACAGCCAGCTTTCCGAGTGGTTTTTTCCCTTAATTTTTAATTTACAATTAAAGATTATCCTTGAAAAACGTCCCCTGTAAAAAGGTTTCACTAATTTAAAACCCATTCTTTCCCCTGTGCGTGCGTTTAAAAGTGTGAGGAGTCTGATGAATTCTAAAGCATCTGCGGCCACTCTCTTTCAGAAGTGGGGGAGTGGGGGGATCTGTCTCCCCGCCCCCAGACTCCCCACACCCAGGGTCTCCACACAGGCCTGGATGTCACTCATTTCAGCACAGCCTGGGGTCCCAGCAGGCAGCAGAAACCCTGGGCGTGGAGACCCCTGCTGAGGACCTGCGGGGCATGCAGAGCCCCCCGCCCACGCCGGGTGGTCAGGGAGACGCCAGCCCCTAGCAGGAGGGCACACCCACAGCGAGACTCTGACCCACCCTCGCCCACAGGGCCCAGCACGGCTCTCCTGGAGAGACCACAGCGGCCAGCGCTGGGCAGATCGGTCCACACCCAGAGCCCCTGAGAGGGGGCCGGAGACCCCAGGAAGACGGGCCCTGGGGGCGGAGTGGAGAGGTGTAAGCCCCGCCCTCCCCGCCTTCCTCCGCAGGGCGGGGCGGTGAGCTGGCCTCCCTGGGGTCTCCGGGTCTGAGACCTGGGCAGCGTGGCGGTGGGTCGTGCCCAAGGCTGGTGCTGTTTCCTGCTGCCCCCGCTTTAATGACACCTAGCCCAGCTGACCGCCCCTTCAGGTGGCCCAGCTTGGCACGCACGGGGAGGGACCACCTCCTCACCCCCCACCTTCGCCCAGCAACTGCTTGGCAAAGTATCACCCCGCGGCCTCACCCAGGAGCAAGGCCCAACTGCTACCAAGGGAGGGAAACGGGGGTCCCGGGCAGGAGGTGGGGAGAGGCCTCAGAGAGGTGCAGGGCTGGATGCTGCAAAGACGCTGGAGGAGGAAGGGGGGCCCAACCCCCTGGCCCTCTGTCTCTCCTCCCAGCAAAAGCTGGGTGTCTCCGGGGCCTCACGCAGAGTGACCACGGCCGGGCACCCCAGGAGGCACCCCCACCGAGGAGGTCAGACCCGAGATGGCCCCAGCTGAGGACCCGAGGACTCCAGAGGGGACGGCCGGGGACAGCCAGAGCTCACCAGGCCGCTCTGCCCTGCACGGCCCGCGGCCCCTTGGCTCTCAAGCCAGGGGGCCCGGGGTCTTCAGAGAACGCCCAGGATGGGCTGCCCCGCGCCTCGGTCTCCCCATCGCTCGCTCGCTCTCTCTGACCCAGCTGGGATCTGCCCACAGGGGCTCACCCGTGTGCTCCTGGAGTTGGAGGTCCTGGGCTCTAAGGAGCGCAGGCAGAGACTGCCAGACCCCAGAGGAAGCTCCCAGCCCGGGGTGCGGGCCCCTGACAGGCAGGGCGGACCCGGGGACGTGGGAGCTGCTCTGTGGGCGCTCGCGGCCCTTCTGATACAGCAATTATCCATTTACAGCGTGTCATCTTTTCACCTTCTGTCCTGTTGGAGCCAATAAAGGCCTGGCCGCAGACCGCGGGTGACAAAGCGGCTGCGGCTTCCCCGTGCGGCAGCAAGAACAGGGACACAGACGTGAGGACAGAGGCGGACGGGCACCGACAGGGCGGGAGCCCAGCGCGGGGCGCCAGGGGGCCAGGCCCCCGCGGCTCCCTAGGCAGGCGGGCCGCTCTGCCCCCCGGGGACTGGGACCCCTTCCCCTCTCCCCTCCCCTCCCCTTCCCCACCGGAGGCCCCGCCCTGCGCCTCAGCTGTGATGCCCCAGAGTGGGGTGGGGGGCGGGGAGATGCAAGGGTCTCACTCCAGAGGGGCCTGGAGGGGCCCAGACTGAGCCATGGGGAAGGGGGGAGCGGCTCGATCCTGTAATAACTCAGGGGACCCACTGCACTCCACCCTCGGAGAGGGGATCCCACACAGTCAGAATTGATGCTTCTGAACCATGGTGTTGGAGAAGACTCTTCAGAAAGGGATTCGGTGTGCACGGCCCCAGGGTGGGGCCTTCCTGGCTCACAGGAAAGCATTGGTGCTTTAGACCACGCGGCGCTCATTCGGAGACTGTTTCTCTGTTGCCCGTCCCTTTGCGCCTGTTAGCGCTCACCTCCTGAGCCGGAGGCTCGCAGGGCTCATGCAGGCGTCTGCCCTGCTCTCTGAACCCTGCCGTCACCCTGGGCCCTCTTGCAGGTGAGGCAGGGCACAGAGCAGGTCAGTCGTGTGCCCGAGGTCACACAGGAGGTCACGCAGGAGCGGAGCCCGGCCTGAACCCAGGCTGCCTGCTCTTAACCCCTGACCTCTCAGGGCAGCGGCAGAAAGAAGCCTTGCAGTCGTGGTCTGCACGGGTCAGTCGTGAAGCCGGGCCCGTCTGTCCTGAAGGGGCCAGTCCTAGGGGCTGATCGGAGGCATTGCATTAAGCTAAGCCCCTGGCCCCACCGTCCTGCGGGGAAGCAGAAAAACAAAGGGAAGTGGCCCCCACACAAACGGCTGGGTCCCTGAGGCCACTCCTGGCTCAGGCCGGTAACTCTGACCACACCCTGAGAGACTGTTCCCCAGAGGCCCCCAGGCCTAACTAGGGCAGGGGTGCCCCCTGGGGGGTGTAGGCTTCTGAGCCTAGGCCTCAGAAGGGGACCGGGAGGCTGAGAGAGGGTGGGAGACTGTCAAGGGTGCAGGCGGACCAGCCCGCGAGGCCCAGAAGCCCCTGGCTCCATGCTGCCCTGAGGACCTGCACGGTTGCCATCTGCCCCCGGGCTCCCCTGCCTCTGTCCTGCCCACTCTGCTCACAGAGGAAGCGGTTCTTCCAAAATGAGCCTGGGACCGGGGAGGGGGCCTCCAGAGCTCCCAGCCTGAAACGGAAACCCCCCCGCAGGGCCTACAGCATCCCTCTCCACCCCCCGCCACAACCTGCAGCCACGTCCCGCCCCTCTCTCCAGCCTCCCAGTTCCAGCCCGGCCAGGCTCTCTCCACTGTGCTCCTCCTGGCCCCAGGCCCTTTGCACAGGCTGCTCTCCCTGCGGCAGCCTCCTCTGACCCCCTCAGGCCCTCTGGGGCCCCCGGTAGCCCCTCCTCATTCCTCTCCACCCCGTGAGGCCAGGAGATTGGAGGGCTGCGGCCACCAGCATGGGCCTGGCCCACGGTAGATGCTTAGTGAAAACCAGCAGGCCCGCAGAAGGGAATGCACCTCCTCCTCCAAGCCGCGCGTTTCTGAGGCTGACTGTAGCTGCAGACCTTCTCCAACCCACCAGCCCTCGCCCCTCCAGAATTTCCTGCCAGGCCCATGACAAAGTGACAGGCATGCATTGAGATGCTGGTGGGCCCCCCAGAAACTGCACGGCTGGTCCCCACCTAATTGAAACGTGTTCCTCGACAGAGGCCATGGTGGGTGGTATCAGCCTGGTGCCTCTAATGAACCCATCGCTGGACTCCTCCCACCCATGTGCTGGGCCTGCTTGCTGATGAGAAAGTGAAAACCTTTTAGAAACTAAAAACAGTGCATTCGGATGGTGGGCAAACAGCCTTGAGACCCTGAAGTTCTGCAGGCAAAGCTGGGAGTGGGGAGGAGGTGGGCAGGGACCCTCCCACCTGGGGGTCACCCAGGGCAGGGCGAGCCCCCGGCCTCCACATCTGCCCCTGGGTGGGGGGGACGGTCTACAGCCCCCTCTCTCCCAGGATCTCTGGGTGGACGTGACCGCCACTCTTCAGGGAGCCGGGGGTGGGGGTGGTGGTGATGCAGGCCCTGCCTTGGGGGCCAGGCTAGGAGTCAGGAGGGATGTGTCTCAGCAGAGGCACCAGGGGTCTCAGGGACCCCGCCCCTGCCCGAAGCCCTCACAGCCCGTGCTCATCAGATTTAACTCTGAATTTCTGACCCAGGGGGTGCCCGCAGAGGGGGGCCGACAGGTGACCTCCGCCAGGCTGGCAGCTGGCAGCCCACCCCCCCTGCAATGCCCCCACCTCCGCCTGTCAGGGCTCCTTACCTGGTCCCGCACCCGACCACCTCCTTCAACCTTCAAGCGGCGTTCATCACGGCCGAGGATGCGGTGCCGTGGCCTCCCTGCAGGTGCAGCGGGGCTCCCAGCACAGGGGGGAGCTGCTACCCGCAGCACCCGGGAGGTGAGGCATCCGTGGCGAGTCCCGAGCACAGGGCCACCCCACGGGATAGGCCCAGGCAAAGCCCTCTCAGAGCCCCCTCAGGAGCGGGTATACCCGCCTGCCACCCCCTGAGAGACACCAGGCTCCACCAGAGCCACCAGCCGGGCCAGAGCGCCTCGTTCTGGGAGCCACAGGCCCACTCATGGCCTTTGATGACCGTGGCACCATCGCTCTCAGCATCCCAACCAGGCTCTGGGCAGGCGTGCCCCCCTGCATCTCCAAGGACGTGGGTGATGCACTGCCCAGGGCCAGGGCGCCAGCCACCATGGCTCGGCCCTCAGCCTGCGGGGAGATGGGACACCGGGGAGCCGGACGCTGGAGTGAGCGTCCTGCGGGCTGGTTCTCAGCATAGAGCTCTAGTTTTTCAAAGGCGCTTTCCCAAATAGAAGAGAGGATGACAGAGACACAGCACCCTGGCCTGTCGCAGGGGGGCAGGGTGTGTGGGGAGGGCCCAGCCTGGGGACCTCAGAGGGCAGGGTGTCCACAGTCCTCAAAGGACCCCAGAGTTCAAAAACCAAACCAAGCAAGCAGAGCTTCTCCTCTGAGCCTGACGTCCGCGCTCGGTCCGGGGGCAAGGGGGCAGCATCCTAGGAGAATCACTGTGGCCTCGCAGGACAGCCAGCACCCGCCCAGCCCACCAGGCGCTCGGGGGCCTCCCCAGGCTCCTCTTTGCATCCAACCTCTCCACGGAGCGAGTTCTTTTTATTTTTTTAATTTGCTTTGCAAATAACCCTGGATTAAAAACCATATATATCTATTTTTAAAAACCCGGTCCTTTACTCCCTTAATTAAATTTCCACAAGATATTTTTCCCTAGGAAAATTCAATTAGGTTTTAATTTTAGTCATTGAAAAGGCACTGGCGCTTTGAGTATTTGATTTTTAATTTAAGCCCTTGATAGGGCATTCCAATTAAAACGTCCAGGGCGGGCGCTGCAGCGTGGCCAGGCCACTCCACAGCAGGTGGAGACCCTAGTGGCTGGGGCTGGGTGAGCAGATGGCCACCAGGCAAGGTGGGCTTCCAGCAGGCAGCTCAGACCACACTGGCCGCCGCTCCGGTGCGTTCACCCACGCTGCCCTGCGGGACGCTCAGTTCTGTCCCTGGGGTGGGTTCCGCTCTCGGCTGGGTCTGGGCAGGCACAGGATGCCCCAGGAGAGGGCAGCAGCCAGCAGGCGAGGCCTCAGAGGCCTGAGGGCCGACCTGGACACCGAGGGCCTGGCGTCAGTGCCCGGCAGCCTGCGTGCATCAGACCACCCCCCTACCCCGCCCCCGCCATGGGTAGGAAAGCTGGGTGTAGCCGCAGTGCCCTCTTGGACGCTGAGGGGGTGGGGCGCTCAGAGAAGCGACTCCGTGCCTGTCTGTCTAGGGAGACCCAGGGTCTCAGAGGCCCGGGCGCGGGCGGAGGACTGCAGCCTCGGCTCTCTGCACCCCCTCTTGCCTGCCCCCACTGCAGGCCCACCTCCGGGTAATGCTGGGACAGGCCAGGAGAGCGACCCTGAGGACCGCCCACGCGTCTTGGTCAGGAACCTGAGAGACCCCGCACCCACCCTGGACGGCGGCCAGGCAGCCAGTGGCTCCAGAAAGCAGAGGCGGCGAAGTCAGCCCCCTCCTGCTTGTGACTGAGGACTGTCCCGTGGCGTGACCACCCGCCACTGAAGGGCATCTGGGTGGAGAAAGTGGGAGCGTTAGTCGCTCAGCCGTGTCTGAGCCTTTGCGACCCCGTGGACTGGCTCACCAGGCTCCTCTGTCCATGGGGTTCTCCAGGCAAGAATACTGGAGTGGGTTGCCATTTCCCCCCCGGGGGCACCTTACAGACCCCAGGTCTCCTGCATGGTCTCCAGTTTGGGGCTATTATCAGTGAGGCTGCTATGATCACTCAGGTACTGGGTTTTGAATAAGCCTATGTCTTTGTGTCTCGGGGATACCTGACCAGGTGTGCAATTACTGCTACTGAAGGTAAGTGCATGCTTAGTTTTTAAAGGAACTGCCAAACTCTTTTTCCAGAGTGTTTGTACCATCTTATATTCCCTCCAGCAACGTGTGAGTGGTCTCCAGTTTCTCTACATCTTCACCAGCATTTGGTTTTGTCACTATATTTTATTTTACTTGTTCTGATGGGTGTGCAGGGACACCTCATTGTGATTTTAATTTGCATTTCCCTAACGGCTAATGAGGTTAGACACTTTCATCTGCTTATCGCCATCTGTAAATCCTCTTCAGTGAAATATCTCCTCACGTCCTTTGCTCATTTTTGAACTGGATTGCTTTTAACTGTTGAGCTTTGATAATTTTATATACACATCAGATCCTGTCGTTTGTCAGATAAGGCGTTTCTAATATCTTCTCCTCTGTAGTTTATAATTCATCCTCTTAACAATGCTTTTCACAGAGCAAAAGTTCCCAATTTTGATGAAGCTCAAATATAAATGGTTCCTTCTAAGGACCATGTTTTTGGTGTCGAGTCTTCCAGCTCTTTGCCTGTCGCTAAGTCCCAAAGGTTTTCTCCTATGTCTTTTTCTAGCAGCTCACTTTTAGGGGCTTCCCTGGTGGTCCAGTGGTGAAGCATCTGCCTTCCAGTGCAGAGGAGGTGGGTTTGATATCCGGTCAAGGAACTAGATTCCACATGCCTCGGGGCAACTAAGTCCACTCACCCCAACTAAGACCCAACACAACCAAAAATAAGTAAGTAAACAAATAAATATAAAAAATAAAGTGGAAGAATTAATTTTTTTAAAGTTTCAGTTTTACAATTTAAGGTCCACTTTGAGTTTATGTTTGGAGAAGGTGTAAACTTAGGTCAAGGTTCTGTTTCTTTCTTGGCTTTTTTGCTTTTTTTTTTTTGCCTGTGAATGTCCAGTTGCTCCAGCAGCATTGGTTTGAAAGCTCTTTTTCCTCTATTGAAGTACTTTGCACAGCGTCAGAAACCAGCAGGCACTTTGGTGTGCATCTATTTCTGGGTTCTCTGTCTCAGTTCCACTGATCTGCGTGTCCATCCCTCCCTAGGTGTCTCGAGTCTTTGTTAATGTGGCTGCCTAATCAGTCTTGGCTCAGACGGAAAAGAATCTGCCTGCAATGCAGAAGACCCAGGTTTGATTCCTGGGATGGGAAGATCCTTTGGAGGAGGGAATGGCTACCCACTCCAGTATTCTTGCCTGGAGGATTCCACGGACAGAGGAGCCTGGCGGGCTATAGTCCACGGGGTCGCAAAGAGTCAGACACGAGTGAGCGACACACTTTTTAATAAGTCTTAAAATCAGGTACACTGATTCTTTTATTCTTCTTTTCCAAATTACTTCAGCTACTCTAGTTCCTTTGTCTTTTCAGGTAAGTTTTGTAATTATCTTGTCTATGTCTACAAAAAATACTGCTGAGATTGATAGGCATAGCATTCAATCCGTGTATCAGCTTGGGAAGAATTGATGTCTCTGCTACGTTGAGTCTTCCAATCGATGAACACAGTTATTGTCTCCATTTATTTAGATCTTTTCTTTATTTCTCCCATCAGTGTTGTGAAGCATTCAGCACACATCTTGTGTATGTTTTATCAGGTTTACACCTAAGTGTTTCATGTTTTAGTGATTGTAAGTGGCCGTGTATTTTTAATCTATTTCATTTATTTACGTCCGCACCCCGTCTTTGCTGCTGCTCAAGGGCCTCCTCCAGTTGCAGCGAGCAGGGGCCACCCCCTAATTGCCAAGCACCGGCTTCTCATTTTGGTGGCTCCCCTGTTGCAGAGCACAGGCTCTGGGGCCCACAGCTCAGCAGGTGAAGCTTAGAGCACAGGCTCAGTCGTTGTGGGGCCCAGGCTTTGCTGTTCCACAACATGCGGGGTCTTCCCAGACCAGGGATCGAACTTGAGTCCCCTGCATTGGCAGGTGGATTCTTTACCACTTAGCTCCCAGGGAAGCCCGGACAGTATATTTTTAATTTCAGTGTCCACACGTTTCATTGCAGTGATATAGAAATAAAATTGCATTTCCATATGTCTGTCTTGTACACTACAATCTTGCTTAACCCCTGTATTAGTCCAACGAGTTTTTTGTAGATTCACTGGGGTTATTTATGTAGACAAATGCCATCTGCAAACAGAGGCAGTCTTATTTCTTCCTTTCAGATCTGTATGCCTCTTATTCCATTTTCTTGCCTTATTACACTGGCTAGCACTTCCAGCACTACATTAAATAGAGTGGTGGGAGTGGACATCCTTGACTTGTCCTTGATCTTGAGGGAAATGATTCAGTATTGACTGTATATTTAGTTACGCGAGTGTGCGTGCTAAGTTGCTTCAGTCCTGTTCAACTCTGTGACCCCATGGACTATAGCCCACTGGGCTACTCTGCCAGTGGGATTTTCCAGATAAGAACACTGGAGTGGTTGCCACTTCCTCCTCCAGGAGACATTCCTGACCCAGGGATGGAACCCAGGCCTCTTATGTCTCCTGAATCGGCAGGAAGTTTCCTATCACTAGCGCCACCTGGGAAGCCCGTATTAAGTTATAACATTAGGTATTAACGATCACAGTCATTTTTCTGTAAGTGTTGTTTGTCAAGCTGAGGAATTTCCCCTCAGTTCCCAGTTTGCTTAGAGTTTATTGTGAATAGAATTGAATTTTGTCAAAAGATTTTTCTTCATAGATGAGTATCATCATGTGATAGTTCTTCCTTGCCTCTTAGTATATGGAATCAATCACATTGGTTGACTTTTAAATATTAAACCAGCCTTGCATCCCTAGAATAAACCCCATTTGGCTGTGCTTAGTCGTGTCCAGCTCTTTGCGACTCCATGGACTATAACCCACCAGGCTCCTCTGATCGTGGACTTTTCCAGACAATAATACTGGAGTGGGTTGCCAGGATAGGTGAGGGCTGCTGCTGGCCTGTGGGTGCCCCCAGCATGGTGCACAAAAGCCCATGCATGAGGCACCTTCTCAACCAGGACTGCATTTCCCCACGGGGTCAGGG